CCATTTTGAATAATATTGCATGAGTTCCTTGTTTTTCAATGCAGCATAGTATTTCCATTATGTGAATATACCACAGCTTCTCTATCTGTTCGTTTGTTGATGGGAGGAGATAATTTTTAACACTCAGCGCTGGGAAAAGTGTCCTGTCTCTTCAGTTTGGTTCCTGGGAGATCTGTGGGTAGCTTTGCTATCTCTCTTTCTCTGATTTTAAACTCCTCTATCTCAAAAGACACTGATTCTACACTCTGCATTACTTCATTAATATCACAAACACAACGTTTCCAAATAATACTATAAACACAGGCACAGAGGTTAGGATTTACAACACATATTTTTGAAGGACAGCATTTATAACCATATATAAAATGGCCATATGTATATATGTTCATTTTTTTAGCATAAATATACTGAATACCTGTGTAGCCACTACATAGGCAAAGATATAGCTCATTGTCAATAGCATGACTGTGTTGTGTGTACATCTGTCTCATTCTTACCCTTTCCCTGTAGGTTCTGTCAGCCTTTAAAGTGGCATTATTGTTTTTTTCATTTTACTCTGGATCTTCTCCCCTCAACTTTTTCTTTCCCTTTCCTTACCTCTCTATTATACTATGCTTTTCTCAAACACTTTTAGTTTGAATGTGTATATCTTGTGTATACTTTTCATGCTCATCAGTACTTTTCTTTTAAATTTTCTCCTTTATTTGCTTCTTTTCCCTTACAGCTATGTATGCCAGTTTGGGTTAGTAATTTGTACATAAAAGACACTGCATATATAATTAGAGTTGAAATAGTTTTATTTCTTAGCAGATGACTTCAACCACAAGGTTTTTCTCTCCATGTTAACTTTGTCCTGCCACTCATTTTAAGCTTGGATTCACTTGAGGACAGTTGTCCATAGTTGTCTCCCTTGTCAGCAGAGATGATTATCAAATAGGATGCCCTCTGCTGAGACTGTCTTCCTTTGGTAGAAAATGTTGGTCTGTGTGTTTTACTCTTAAGTTTTGAGATAAGATCGTTGGAGTTTTAGTTTATTTAAAAGTCTAAAAACTTATTTATCATTTTCTCTATTTTGTTTTTCCTAATTCTTCTAGCCTGAGATATTCTTTGATGTAGTCAGTCTTTCAACATGGCAAGAAGTACTCAGTGACTCTCAGCGTGAATACCTCCAGCAGTTCCTGCCTAGTTTCCCTATGGACAGTACTGAACAGCAAAAACAGCTTATCCTTGCCCTCTTCAGTGGGGAGAACTTTCGCTTTGGAAACCCTCTGCACATTGCCCAGAAGCTTTTCCGAGGTCTGTAGCCCCACATTTTATTTTGGGAAGGATGCAGAGGGTGTGGGACATGTTTGGCAATTTTATTTGTGTATTTTCATATATTTATTCAGTAGATAATGGATTTGTGCAACGCTTTGTTGCCTTAACCCCTCTTCTTAGTAAAATTTACTGATAGACACACACACATACATATATACATGCATATTGTTGTTGCTGCTGTGTACCATCGAGTCGGAACTTACCCATAGCCAACTCTCTGGCTGGTTTTCAGAGGCATTTAATCACATGGGAGGAGATTGCTCAATGGTTTTAAGTAATACAAACTTAAATGATAAAGCAACCACTTGAATCAGGGAATAGTATCACCGGTATCCAAGAAGACCCTTCTAAAATTTTTTTAGGTAAATTTTGCCAATTGCTTTATTTTATATGTTCACATTTCTTTATTTTTTACTGTGGGATATGTCATCATTAAGTACTTCAGTATTCATGTATCTTTTTAAACAAATATATTCTCTCACCTACTCACCCCTCATTTTTCATGCCCCCCAAAAAGTAACATTAAGCAAATAGTATCACTTAATGACTTTTTAAAATACTGAATTCAGTAAAGCAGAAAGCTTTTCTCTCTTTTTCTCCAGGACTTTTTACTATGATACTGGCTGAAAGAGTCACTGGTCATAGCCCACTTCTGACACCTTTTATAAAAGAAAAAAAACAACAACAGCTCCCAACTGTTGTCTCTTCTAGGGATCTCTGGTGGCCTGTCACCTAGTCCATCTGTTCATTGCTCACACAGTCCTCTGCTTTTAAAAAAAAACTTTATTCTAATTTATGTGTGTACGTGTACCATCAAATTGGACTTGACAGGGACAGGAGAAGATTGTCCCTCCTTCTCCAGCAGAGCATCTGGTGGATTCGAACTACGTACCTCTGGGATTGCAGTGCAGCTTCTTGCCACTAGGCCACCAGAGCTTGCCTTTTTTTTTTTTTTTTTAAATTAAAGTTTGCAGAGACTTTGGATTTCCATTCATTTTTGCACACTTTCCTCCCTGCCCACCCTCCCTTCAGTTTGCTTTTCTCTTTGAAAAGTAAGAAAAAAATTATTTCATTGTTACACAGTCTCCCCATCCTCCACATACCTCTAGTTGACTCCACTATGAAGCTTTCATTCTGGACTCTTGTCATGACCATAATACCTAATCATATATTCCTTCTAAAAGGTTCTCTGTTTCAATGCAGTATACTATCCCCTCTTTTCTTAGTTTCCCCTCAACCCAAATGTCAGTCCTGCTTTACAGTAGTGGCATTATGCAGTATTTTCCTTTTATGACTGAGATAATTTCACTCAGCATAACATCCTCCAGGGTCACCCATTTTGTATGATACTTTATGAGTTCCTTGTTTTTCAGTTCAGCATAGTATTCCATTGTATGAATATACCACAGCGCCTCTATCCATTTGTTTGTTGATGGGCACTTGGCTTGTTTCCAACTCTATGCTATTGTGAACAAAGCCACAATAAACATGGGTGTGCATATGTACACTTGGGTGGCAGTTATGGTTTCTTTATGGTATATTCCCAGCCGTGGAATTGCTGGTTCAAATGGTATTTTTCTTTCTAACCTTTTGAGAAAGCACTGTACCACCTTCCATAGTGGGTGCATCATTTTACACTCCCACCAACAGTGAATAAGGGTTCCAATTTTCTCCGCAAACTCACCAGCATTTGCTGTTTGCTGTTCTGTTAAATTTTTTTATTCTTCCTGGGGTGAGATGATATCTCATAGTTGCTTTGATTTTCATCTCTCATAGAGCCGGGGATTTTGAACATTTCTTCATGTGCTTGTTGGCCATCTGAATGTCTTCTTTAGTGAAGTGTTTGTTCATATCCTGTGCCCATTTTTAAATTGGGTTGTTTATCTTGTGGTGCTTGAATATTTGATAAATTTTAGATAATAAGTCCCTTATCAGACATGTCATTACCAAATATTTTTTCCCCAGTCTGTCTCTTCTCTTTTTACCCTGTTGGAGAAGTTTTTGGATGTGCATAGGGCTATGATTCTTAAAACATCCCATTCATCTATTTTATCCTGTCCTCCTTGTAGGTTTTTCAGGATGCTTGGAAGACTGTTTATGTTGTGGATTAGGGCTTCTAGTGTTCTTCCAGGATTTTTTCTAATGAAGTTTATAGTTCTTGGTTTTAGTCCTAGATTCTTGATCCACTCTGAGTTGGTATGTAGTGAGGTTTGGGGCTTGCTTGAGTTTTCTGCATAGTTTTCCAATTTTGCCAACACCATTTGTTAAAAAGGCTGTCATTTCCTCACTTAACTGATTTTATCTCCTTGTCAAAAATCAGTTGGCCATAGGTAGATGGGCTGATTTCTGAATTCTCAGTTCTCTTCCATTGATGTATGTGTCTGTCATTGTACCAGTACCATGCTGTCTTGACCACCACGTCAGTGTATTAGGATTTGATATCAGGGAGTGAGTTGCCGCCTACCTTGTTTCTCTTTTTAAGTAGTGCTTTGCTTATTCAGGGCCTCTTTCCATTCCAAATGAAATTGGAGATAGCCTTTTCCATCTTGTTGAAGAATGGAATTGGTATTTGTATTGGGATTGCATTGGATGTGTAAATTGCCTTTGGTAGTATTGTCATTTTCACAATATTGAGTCTTCCTATCAATAAGCAAAGGATATTCTTCCATTTTTTCCAGGTTTCTTCTTATTTCATGTAATAATGCATTGTAATTTTCTTTAATAGATCCTTTGTGCTTCTGGTTATATTTACTCCCAAGTATTTAATCTTGTGATTAGCTATTGTGAAGGGTATTGTTTTTCTTAGGTCCAGTTCTGTTTGTCACGATAGAGAAATCCAGTTGTTTTTTGTATGTTGATCTTGTATCTTGCCCCTTTGCTTAATTGGTCAACTATGTCCTGTAGTTTTCTTGCTGAGTCTTTAGGGTTTTCTAACTATACTATCATGCCATTTGTATATAGAGATCATTTTACCTCATTTTTGCCAATTTGGATTCTTCTTAATTTCCTTCTCATCTTGTTGCTATTAGTAAGGCTTCCAATACAGTATTGATCAGGGGAGGTGATAGTGGGCATCCTTGCCTAATTCCTGTTCTCAAAGAAAATGCCTTTAATCTCCATTGAGAACAATGTTGGCTCTTGGGTCTGTGTATATACTTTTTACTATGTTAAAGAAATTCCCCTCTAATCCTATTTTGTTGAGTGTTTTAATCAGGAAAGGGTATTGGATTTTGTTAAAGGCCTTTTCTGCATCAATTGGTAGGATCATGTGGTTCTTGTTCTTTGCTTTTTTATGTGATAAATTACATTGTTTTTCTTATGTTGAACCATCCTTGCATGCCTCTTATGAATCCCCCTTGCTCATGGTGAATGATTTTTTTTGGATATATTATTTGATTATATTGCCCAGGATTTTATTCAGGATTTTTACATCTATGTTCATAAGAGATATTGGCCTATAGTTTTCTATTTTGGTGGTGTCTTTACATGGTTTGGTATCAAGGATATGTTTGCTTCATAGAATGAGTCTTGGAGAATTCCATCTTTTTCTATTTTCTGACATAGTTTATGTAGAATTGGTGACAGTTCTTCTCTGAATGTTTAATAAAGCTCACTTATAAAAATCTGGTCCTTGGCTTTTTTTAGCTGGAAGTTGTTTTATTACCTATTCAGTTTCTTTTGTAATGGATCTGTTCAGGTATACAATTTTGGTTTGTGTCACTTTAGATAGGTTGTGAATTTCTAAGTATTTGGCCATTTCCTCTAGGTTTTCATATTTGTTTGAGTTTAGTTTTTCATGATATTCTGTTGTTAGCCTTTTTATTTAGTTGGTTCTGTTGTGATGTTGCCCATTTCATCTTTTATTCGGGTTATTTGTGTCTTTTCCTTTGTGCTAGTGGTTTGTTGATATTTTTGACCTTTTCAAGGAACCAACTCCTAGTTTTGTTGATGGTTTCTATTGTTTATCTGTTTTCTATTTCATTTATTTCTGCTTTAATTTTTATAATTTCAGTTTTTTAAGAGGGTGTTGGATTTTCTTGCTGTTCTTTTTCAATTTGTTGGAGATGTTGGGTTAGAGAGTCAATGGCCATTTTTTCCTGCCTTTTGATGTGGTTATTTATTACTATAAATTGACCTCTAATTACAACTTTGGCTCTTTCCCAGAGAATTTGGTAAGTGGTATTTTCATTGTCATTTGTTTCATTCAAGAAACTTCATAGTTTCATTTTTTACTTTTCCTAGTACCCAGTCATGTTCAAGCCAGGTGTTGTTAAGCTTCCAAATGTATGGGGTATTTTTTGCTCCAATATTCTCTTGTTATTAATTTCCAATTATAAGATGTTTTGTATTATTTCTATGTTTTTTAATTTATTGATGCTTGCCCTGTGACCTAACATGTTATTTGTTCTGGAGAATATTCCATGCCCATTGAAGAAGGTATACTGTGGGGTTTTTTTGGGTACAGTAGCTCACGAATATCTATGAGTTCGAGTTGGCTTATTGTGAGGTTTAATTCTTGAGTGTCTTCTTTTAGTTTTTTCCTGGTAGTTCTGTTCTTTTCTTGAGAGTGGTATATTGAAGTCTCCAACTACTGTAGTAGTGTTATTTAGTTCTTTTTTCATTTTTGTTAGTTTGTATATTTTGCAGGTCTTTCATTTGGTGCATAGATATTTATTATTATGTCCTCCTGTTCTATTGACTCTTTAAGCATTATGTAGTGACTTTCCTTGTCCTTTGTGATGATTTTTGCATTGAAATTTATCAGATATCATTATTGCTACTCATGCTTTTTTTTCTGGTTGCCATTTGCTTGGTATATTTTTCCCTACCCTTTTATTTTTAGTCTTTCTTTATCTTCATTTTCCAGGTATGTCTCTTATAGACATCATATTGATGGATTTTGGTTTTTTTTATCCAATCTGCTACTCTTTTTCTCTTCAGCGGCTCACTTAAACCTTTCACATTCAGTATGATTATTG